CATTGACACATCAATGATGCAGGCCCTTGAAGTGCAGCAAAGGTAGGACACAGGGTTATTCATATCTACAGTGTTTATTCATTGCAGAAGTCATTTCATGTGTTATCCATGCTCATTGTATTAAATTAATTTAATCAAAACAATAATTAAACTAGGCCTATGTATTTATGTAGCATGGAGCCATCACAAGAACTGGGCCCATCAAGTTTGCCGATGAGATTGCCGCCTTAACCATCTACAGCTGCTACTCAGGATAGCCCGGCAGCTTAAGCACCATTCCCATCCGCAGCACCTGCTCTGTCAGCATCCCTGCAGGAGAGCAGATTGAAACTCACAATTGATGTGTTTGAACAACAAAAAAAAGTCCTTTCCCTTCAGGAGGAGTACTACCGCCTTAAAATTGAACACCTAAAAAATAAACCATTTACAGATTGTGTTCTTTGTCTTGCATTTAACAATTGCAGGTGATGTGCAGTAAAACTGTGGTAGTTCTTAATACCATCACAAGTTCTCAAAAGACATGGGGCTACAGCTTGCCTGAAATGTAAATTTGTGAAGTTTGCCCTGTAAGGTAGTCCACTATGGGCTAGGTTCCCCTGTGGAATGTAAATATCTTCTTCACCACCATCCTCATTGTTGTCTTCATCCTCATCCTCATCGCCATCCTCTAGAGGTTCTGCAATCTGTCTAACCTTGCAAATATTGTGTAATATTGCACAGGCTATGATGACTTTGCTGACTTTTTCAGGCCTCAGCCGCACCTCTCCGTGGAGAACATGAAAGCGCCTCTTAAGCTGGCCTATGCCACACTCCACCACCGCACTTGTTATCTTGTGGGCCCTACAATAGAATACAGAGACCTTTAATTATTTGATGGAAATTTTGCACTACTTGGATGCTCTAACATATTGCTTGCATTTCATTTCCATGATTTTTGTATTGTTTGGCTTACCTGTTATAGTTTAGTTGGGGCCCTTGGCGTGGCTGGAGGTAAGGTGTAAGGAGCCATGGTTTGCATGGGTAGCCACTGTCCCCTAACAAGTGGCAATTAGCTGGCACATAGCGTCTCTCAAAAAGCTGTCTGATGCCACTCTCGGAGAGCATTCTCGCATCATGTGTGGAGCCTGGCCATTTAGCCACAATGTCCAAAATCTTACGGGCTGCATTGAACACTATTTGCACATTGATGCTGTGGAAATTCCTCCTGTTAACAAAGACAGCCTCGTCCTCTGATGGCGCAATTATTCTCACATGTGTTCCATCAATTACACCCACAATGCCAGGGAATCCTGCAATGTCCATAAATGCCCTTTTATGTGTGTGTAAAGTGCGGGCATCCAGCGGGAATGAAACAAATTGTGTCACAATATTAGGTTGTGACAAAGCTGTCAGTGTTTGGGTGATGACTCTGCTGA